GTCAATCTGGCTTGCCGAACGGCTAGACTTTTGCACTGCAACCGTTGGCTCCGCCTGTTCCTGGTGGTGTCCTTGAGTTTCGATTGGTTATGTCTGTGCATCTGACTGATGCGGCTCCGTCGGACGTTCTGACGGGGTTTGCACCCGATTGTCTCCCTTGCTCGTCTCTTGATGCCGCTGGTCCGTGGATGATTTGAAGTGGATTTGGTCCACGTGCCGCTTGTACTCAGTAGCATTATTCAATTCGGCAATTTCCACCATGGCTTGACCCAGTTGTCGTGTGGTTATACCAGACGCGGGTCGCAAATCATTACCACGGAAGTATACGACGTCACTGGAGTGGAAGCACTGTAGGGAGGATCGCAAACGTCTGAATTTAAAAAGCATTGCTGGGCTCTCCTTGGTGGTTGTGTGTTGCGTTTCGGTATTGGAGTAGGAAGGTATCAACCAACGTTTCCAACTCATGTATCATTTTAGGATTGGCAGACGCAATTGCACTCTTGACCGTTGTAACTAAATTCTCGCCGCTCCGTTTGAACAAGAGTGAAGTGACGCAGTTTGAAGATATCGGCAACGGATGCTGTTCATCCAAAGCTTCATTTTGGTAGCACAAAACTGAGATCCATCATCGTCACAAGCACTTGTGGAATCCCATCGGGGCCAAAACATTTCCCTAGTACTTGAATCACAAATGATGTGGTAGGCGCAGCCGTGAAGAATACCTCAGGCCATTTGGAGTATGAATCGATCAGAAAAAAGGCATAGCACCTGTTAGGTCATTTCGGGATCTAGGTCAAGGTTGATTGACGCGCCAAGCCAAAAGACGGAATCGAACTGTTTAAGATTGATTTACTAGCGTCCAATAAATGCGGTACTACAGGTACATCACAATCACAGGTACACACCTCAATTCGTGGCGCTCTCACAGAGAATTCACCGAACAGTCAATCGGTCTAGGTTGATACAGATAACAGCTTCTAGGGACAATCGAGTGGACAAAACCTTCGATGGCCGAACAAAGCAAAACTGACCGGACGAAGCGTAGACACCGAGTGATAAGAGTAGACATATGGCCGACTGTCACACGGACTGTCCAATCACAGTCGGGGCCAAGGTCACAAGGGTCATGCCACAACTAAACGAGGGAACATGTGCCGGAGAAGGTGCGTGTGTGCATGTCTGTGGGGAGGCAATCGGAAAATCACATGATCGAATATGAATTAGCAGTGGGTGCCGACATATGGGGGAGGGGGGACGCCAGGCGGACAAGAAATCGAGTCAAGTGATTGAAACGTGGGTGCATAGACAAGCATATGTGAAGATAAGCTTTTGTGGATCAACGTCTAATCGATAAATGCTGTCAATAAACGACCGAGAGTAGGGCAGACTGGGAACATTGGAAATGAACCACAGAAGTCCAAATGAATCCTATGCCATGGTATTTAACCGTGCCTCCCGAATAGATCAACGAGTAATGCATAACCAAAATCGGATCCCAAACCGTCAATAAAACGAATGATCCAGTAAGTCTCTACGGTACTGCATTAATAGACGATCAACTAAGCAAAAAATTATGTACAAACCTCAAAGTGATCTCAAAACAACTTGAAAACAAGAGCCAAGTGTTACCGTGAGCGCAATTCAACAAATCTGAACGGAAGAAAATAAGCCTGAATTAGAACAGCACGGTCGCCGTCACGCCCCACACGAACGAGCCAAATGAGAGCTCTCAGGAAGCGATCAAAACGAGCGGGGTACGAAGGAAACAGATAAACAAACAAAGTCAAATGGTAGGATCGATGTGTAAATATAAAAAGGGCGTGGAATGTCAAATGTTTAAGTATGTATGAGGCGGATGGTGTTGAGTGAATGGAGCGTGAAATTCACAAAATATGTAACCGAGATGGATTGACTGGGCTTTACAGAAAGGATTTTCACAGATCGATCAATGCATGGACCACAGAAATCCAAATGAATCCTTCGCCATAGTATGTAACTTTCCGACCATGGTGGACAATTTTTCGGCCTTGTTAGTGGTTTATGTAAATATGACTCAAAGTTCTTGGCGGTTACGTAAATGTCTGCGTCCAGCTCCGGCCACCAACACATCTGTGGAGCCAATGATCTTATCTTCTCCACCCCCATATGTCCTTTAAGCAATTCTTCTAGTACCGGCTTCCGTAGTTGCGATGGGATTATCAATCGATCGTCGCGACACAATACACCATCCAATTGTACAGACAACACCTCTCGGTGGGCAAATAGTTGATGATTCTTTGTCTTTAACTCTGGTGACCACCCATTCTTGTTCGCTGAGAGTATGGCCGAGAAGTACTGTTTGGTAGATTTGCGCAAAGATTCCCGGGACACTGGTGATGCTGGGGAGATGAAGTGATATTGTTTGGCCTCGGAGAATCGTGAGTGGCGAGACAGGAAGTCAGCCTGCGGGATTGTCTTTCTTGGAAGATGTTGGATTTCATAGTTGTATGCGGCTAGGGCGATGCTCCCCCTATGTAGCATTGCAGCAGTGGACTTTGTGATGGATTTGTTGTTGTTGAACAAGAACTGTAGCGCTTGGTGATCAGTGATCATGGTAAACCGCGATCCGAAAAGGTACTTGTGCAATCATCGAACAGCCCAAAATACAGCCAACTGTTCTTTTTGAGTCTGCGAGTGTCCGTTTTCTGCCGCATTGAGTAGACGTGAAATGCAGATCACTGGGCATCCTTCATGTTCTAGTACAGCACCGATTTCGATGTCGGACGCATCGGCGATAAGTGTAGTAGGTTTTGATGATAAAAAACAGAACAGGACGATCAATAACGCAGCGAGCTAAACCACGTAAGATATCTTCACACTCCACCGACCATTCCCAAGCATCTAAACGCAGCACGCGAAAGCGGCTGCGCCCTCGTAGCAAAGTTCAGGATAAATCGGGAATAGTAATGTGGGCATTCCATCACGGATCTCAAATGCGTTTGATCCATTGGAGATTCGATGCTAGTCAATGGTTTGAAACGTGTCGGATCAGAACGATATCCACGGGACTCAACTGTGAATCCTAGAAACTTCAACTCACTCACTCTGAACACACATTTGGATGGCTTGATAGCCACGTTCCTGGCGGCAAATCGTTCCAGTAGGGGCATCAGACGAGCATCGTGTTCATTATTATTAAGGACGACAATGAGGACGTCATCTTGATAAGCAAGCACACCATGGAGTCCTTTGAATACACTGTCTATTGCTGATTGAAAGAGGCCAGACGACACATGCAATTCGAACGGGAGAAAATTGTACTGATGTATTCCCCATGGCGTGTTGATTGTTGTCAAGTAGCTAGATTCGACATCGAGTGGAATCTGTAGGTATGCCAAATCGATCTTGGAAAAATACTGGCAATCATGCAATGACCTCATGAAATGCTCTGGTTCCATGGTGGTTGTTGCACATCTCCGTAATCTGGGATTTAACGTCTGTCGATAGTTTCCACAGATCCGTGGTGTCCTACCATCATGATCGGGGTCACCCAGGTACTGGATTCAACTTTGCCTATCACACCATCATGCTCCATTTTCTGTAACGCTTTCAGAGCACCTTCTCGTTGACCGTATGGGGGAACGTGTGGTTTCAGGAAAATAAGTTCACCGTCCATTTCCAACTTTACCGACGGTACTTTCATGCCACCAACGTTACCGGAACACTGTATAATCAAATGTTGAAGATGTGGGGTGATTGGCATATCGTTGTTGGTATGTAGTGTGATTGATCCTTGTAGCAGCCGCATTGCTCGCAGGCCCAGAATAGACGGACTGTGGGCTGATACCAGGAATCGGATTGGGATTGACACACCGGATTTAGATTGAACGCACAACATCGTTTCGCCAAGTAATTGCAATTGATGGCCAGTAACCCCATGAATGCGCACTGAAGTCGGGGCTAGAAAAGCATTCGGACAAATCGCAGTGAGTGCTGATTTCGGTAGGATGGATTCGCTGCTTCCTGTGTCCAAGATGAATCGATGCTCCACACCAGATTCGAACCTCAGTGGGGCGAACACGAACTGGCCGTTGGGTTCATTGGTGTACAGTGTGTAGATTGAGTTTGAATTCCCATCTGCCGTGGGGATATGGGAATCGGAGGTTGCACTTGGGCATTCGGCATACCTTGCGGATATAGCCAATCTTGCCGCATGCATGGCAAGTGGTATTACGGAATAGATAAGTCAAACGAGGATGGTATTCCCTAAACGAAAAGCAGCGGTTGGTCGCAGCCTTTGGTTGTGTTTGGCTTGAACTAGGTACTTGAGGAACTTGGGGTGAATTATGAACATTGGGTGTGTTACGTTACGGTTTTGTTGATTGCTGATGGAATAACACAAGAACCTCTGCATTTGTGACAGCAAACAAATCGTCACTTTGCTCACGGATTTTTCGAGCCTCGACTAACGTGCTATCTTTCTTTTCCAACATCTTACGTTGTAATGAGATGTTAATTCCAGCAATGAGACGGTCACAAAGTTGTTCTTCCAATTGATCACCAGAGTTACATTTTGACGTCTGTTTGTTTGACTGGAGAATAAAGTCACAGCACGGCATGTTGGCAGCTCTGATTACTGAGTTCAATTTGGCCCGTTCAGTGGTCTGAAAGTTTATTTGGAGAATGCAGTCCAGCAATATGGATCTCAAATTCTTGAACGGCAATTCCGGAGGAACATTCGGAAACGCTAGAGTCTACACCAGGGAATAGGTTATTAGGAAGGACCCTAATCCTGACTATTGACACCAGATGGAATTGACATTAAATATAAAATGTTGGCATCTGGCGGATTCATAGAATTCATAGATTCATAGATTTTCTAAAAACGACCGAGCTTTATATATATAAGGTATATGACGAATTCAGCTGAAAAGAATCGGGTTTTGCTTTTGGCTGATTCTGAGTGGTTTGTTAAAATGTAATTTGTTTAATAAACCTTAATTGACTTTGTGCGGAAAGTATAAATACCGCTACCTTATAATAATAATAATGATAATAATAACGGTATGTTCTACGAAGCCCCTGAGGCATGCTAGTGCGCATGATCAAATGCACAACAATTTAAAAAAATGACGGTCCAAACAAAGATTAAATGTACAGAGAAGAACGTAAGAACATAGTTTTCAAACGGGTACCAAAGACAACCTAACGTTGCACTGCGATGAAAAAGAAACACAAAGCGGACAACGTCATATAATATATATAATATACATATATACTGAGGGTGATCTGTTATGGAGATCACATCAATGTAATCGATTGACTTGTGAAGAACATTGGGGAGTTGAAAATATCCGCTCGGGAGGTGATGCGCGGAAACGAGTTCGGAAAATAGAAGAGGGTTAGTGAACATGAAAGCTTTAGAATTTCAGAGAAAGAGCTGCGGTCGAACCAAGAAAGTGCAACGGAATACAGTAGGACGACAAATGGATCATAAATAAACTGTTTCAAGGTTTGATACAGGACTGACTTTTTGAAAAAGAAGTAAAGGGCTTCGGAGCTTCACCATTACCGGATTGACTGGTGTATAGTATTTATGTTATTTAGGTGACAATCACTTCCATGCTCATAACAACCCTAACCCATGTTGACAATTTGGTCGTTTCCGAACGGATGGTAAAATATTGCTATGGATCGCTGAACGGATTCTTCGAGGACTTCCGTGAATTCCAAAGAGTTACTTGCACTTCATTCTACGTTTATGCATCAACGACAGCCAAAACACTGATACGGGAATAAACATTTGGTCTAAAACTGACTCTGCCTGAGGGTTTTCCGTATTATTTCATCAAATATTGCTGTGTACATCACAGAAGGTGCGGCGCAACTGCAACCAGGTAATTTGGGCTCTCATTTCTAATGTACTCAACCCATTTTAGGCTGCGAGAGATATCGATTGTCCGGCATTTGTTGGAATTCGCGGGATCGGGAAGGAGTACCGAGTGATGGAACGTTGTCTGGTGCACAACCATGACTTCCATGTGGGTCAGCGGGGTCTGTATATAAGTATTTGTCGTCTACCTGGAGGACAGAAAGAGGAAATGTGTACCTTGATGGACAATTTTAGAAGTACTCGTTGGTTAAGGGATTTCGCCACACAGGTTGCATAGACCATTAAATAAGGCAAATATAAGATCCATACGTCGAAGAACGTCTCGGTCTGATTCACGTGGCGATGCACAATGCAAGACTATAGTAGTTGATCGTAGCTTGCCTCAGTACAACGCGTTTTCAGAATACTTTCCATAATCTAACGTGATATTTTGTCGATTACATCTCGTTCCGTATATGAAGAAGAAATGTAACCAGCCACCTGGTATGCCAACGTTCGAAAAGCAGAGCATCTTACAATGCATGCGCAACGTGGCGTATTGTGATAGTGAGATATCGTTTCGTAGATTCCTAGCCGTCGTAGAAAGTCGTACGACAGAAGCAGGTGTTTATCAACGCTCAACTAGTGTACCATACAGAGAGCAGTAGGCGGGGTATGCCGTGAGGACTAGGTTGACTTATGGAAGCCTAACTACCAACCG